AAGAATATTTTTGGCGGAGAGTTTGGTTTGATACAGCAATTCCATTGGGCGTGGGAAATTTTTGAAAAGAGCATGAAAAAAATGTTTCAACCTCTGTCAATCACTGAATAATTGTCCGAATTACATTCGGTTTGGACAGGGTGGCTTGTTTTTTTGCGTAGAATTGATTTCTGAAATAAAAAAGTAGGGGTGCCATTTGAAAAGTTCGACTTACGGGTGGGGCACCCCCCGCCCCGCGCCCCTCCCGCGGTTTGGGAAAATGTCAAATACGCCAAAAAGTGTCCCCTTCGATATAAATGAACACGTCTTTTACCGTTTGTCGAAATTCCGACGCGTTCGGCAGATATTCAAGGTGGCTCGTTTTTCGTGAGACACCCTGTATACACATATACACATGAATTCGAATGGCATATATTTTCGTAATCTACGACCCTTGATCAGTGCTTTGCACAAGGTCTCAGGTCTAGGTTTGACATCATGGGAGAATGCAATAGTGTATTTTCTTCAGAAATGAATCAGAATGGGCCTTTTTTCAAAGGCTCTTTTAGAAATGAGTTGCCGGATCAATAATAATTTGTTAAAAGTTTTCTCAGAATAAAGACAGGATAGTAGCCAAGTCCGTATAGAAATGAAACCCTAAATTCATCATAGAGAACAGGTGGAGAAAATAATGTAAAGAAATAAAAAGGTTCTGCAATGTTTTAGCTCATTGCACTTGAGTGGCGGAAGAGAGTAGCAGTGCAGTCTTAAACAGACGTGCGAGCCAAAGAAAGAGCAGCCTTAGACGGGCGTGTCTCTTGAAGCATAAGGAAAGCAGCCTTAGACGGGCATGCCTCCTGAAGCATAAAGAAAGCAGCTTTAGACGGGCATGCTAGGTTAGGTAGCTGTGAGTGCTTTAAATGAGAAATAGCAACTGAACTGAGAGTGGCTTCTGCCGCGGTTTTTATAAGAGTGGTTACATAATCATGAAAGGTGGTGTGATGTGATTACATAATAGGTGATAACTGGTCTGGCAGTTATGCAACTGGTTATCACGCCCCGGCCTGATTACACAACCAGTAAGTGGAAAAATGAAATCTTTAAATCATTGGCGTGTCGAATGCCAGAAAAGAAATAAACTAGGAATTCAAAAGAAAATACGCCTCTCTTAAATCGCATGCCCATAGGCGAAATAAACACAAAAATTGATGCTTGTTTCATTCAGGAAAATACATTAATAAACCTAAAAATAGATGACACAATTTAAAAAAGAACATGCCATGGATGACCAGCTTGTAGGAGAAAGAAGCCTATTCATTTCAAAAGGACTACATTTTGGTGAACAGTGGGTAAGTGCACATATGAACTTGTTTGTAGATACGCGGTGATTCAGATGGAACCAGCTTGTGCTTTATCTCTGCAAAATGTAAATCTCGGATAAAGCAAATACATAGATTAAAGAGGTAAACCATTTGTTGGAAAGTAGCAAGAAACTGGTAGATCACTTGAATCTGTACATGAGGTCTCACAGGCCCCTTTTTGCAGTTTCCAAAAATGCAATTATTTCAAAGTTGAAGTTTCATTTTTGGAGTCCCCAAACAAAAGTGGCAACCCTGCTACCCTATTTACTCCGCATCTGTGAATGAAGAGTTTGACTAGATACGAAGGTGGACTCTCAGCGTAGCATGAGATATCCCTTACATTGTGACTTCAATTTTTAGAGCTTTCTTAGAGCTTTGGAACTTGATTCGGTAAAAACCAATGTCATGCATCATTGGGTTTCTCAAGAATTTTAAGCAAGAAAATGTACTTAAATAGCAAATCCTTGACACATGCAAGAGCTCTATTCTCAGGACTTCTATCATTGATCTTCGAAGTCTTTCTCTTCTTCTAAAAGTAAGACGCCTAATATGCATCATTTTATCAATTTGATCAATGTATTTATATTCGGATGGTAGGAAATGGTGGTGGATAGACTCTGAAGTGAAGGAGGCAAGAGAATGGCTATTGATACTACAAAGATACGCAAATGACTCAGAAGAGGCCAATGAAAGTTTTAAAAGTTTTCAAAGAAAATACTTGACATTATTACAAAGAAAAAAGTCGGAGCATATTCAAAAAGCAATCAACAATAGTAAAAATCCGTCAAAAACTCTGTGGGATCAAGTGAAGAGAAACTCAAATTTTAAAGAAAAAAGTAAAAAGAATTTTATTTTAAATAGGAATGAAATACCACCGCATGAAATAATGAATGAATACAATAAATTTTCAACGACGATAAAAGAAAGGGTTACTCTCATCAAAAGCAATCTAGATCCACTAGCAGTAGTACCTAGAATAGAAAATACATGTGTACTACATCCGACGGATATCTATGAAGTGGAGACCATTATAAATGAACTGAAAAATAAAAGTTCAGTGGGTGAAGATCAAATCCCCATCCAGATAATAAAAAAATCAGTCAAACACACACGTGAAATAATAGCGAGAGTTTTCAATCTCATGATAGAATGTGGGCAGTACCCATCTGCCTTAAAAATTGCAAAAATTATTCCAATCTACAAGAAAGGAGAACCCTCAGAGTACAGTAACTACAGGCCACTAGCACTGCTGCCTAATTTCTCCAAAATATTTGAAAAATTAATTTATAAAAGGGTATATAAGTTTCTAGAAAAACATAGGATCTTTTGCAGGAAGCAGTTTGGTTACAGGAAACACTGCTCAACGACGGAAGCTTTGTTTGAGATATTAGACGAAATTACACAGGATGATTTACAACACCCAAATCTAGCAGTGTTTTGTGATCTAACAAAAGCGTTTGACTTAGTTGATAGAGACTTGCTGTTAAAAATTTTGGAGAAAGTAGGCATAAGAGGAAAAGCGGGCAGTGTCTTACGGTCATATTTACATCAGTGGCTTCAATATGCTGAAGTTAAAGTAGAAGGAAAAACGTACATCTCAATGAAATTATTAAACGAATATGGAGTTCCCCAGGGTAGTATCTTAGGGCCGCTTTTATTTATAATCTATGTAATGTATGTAAATAATGTACTAATGAGTGGCTCGGCTGTGGATTATGTAGATGACAAAACAGTGGTTTTCAAACAACTAAAAAACGAGGAAGACTGGAAATCAGTAAAGAAGGATGTAATTAATCTAAGAGAACTATATTCAGCCATGTCACAGTCATTCAGCACGGAAAAATCAGTATACATGCTATTCGGCAAAAACGGAAAGCACGAAGTGAACTTGATTCAATGGAAAGACAGCCAACCACTGGGTGAAATCGAAAGGGTGAATAAACACAAAGTACTAGGACTAATAATACAGGAAAATATTGAATGGAATGAGCATATAGACGCGATAGTAAAAAAACTAGGATCCTACAGCTATGCAATAAATAGACTAAGACATTTACTAAACAGAGCTGATTTGATTAAGCTTTATTATGCCTTCATCTACTCGACGATAAGATATGGGATAATATTCTGGGGAAACTTGAAAGGAGTTGATAGAGTATTTAAACTTCAGAAAAGAGTACTTCGTAACATTTTTGGACTTAAAAAAAGAGAAACATGTAAACTGATATTCAAAGAAAATGAATTAATGACTGTATACAATATTTATATAAGGGAGTCAGTTTTGTTTGTAAATAGAAATAAGCACTACTTCGAATTTAATAGAGAAAAAGAGAACTATAGAGGTAGAAATGAGGTAGACATAAGCATATCAGAGATACCAAAAGGAATGATTTCCAAAGGGCCCAAATACAATTGCTCAAAGATATACAACAAACTCCCTAGATATATTAAAGAAATTGAAGAGAGAAGCACCTTCAAAAGAAAAGTAGATACATTTTGTAAGGAGAATGTATTCTATAGTATTGATGAATATTTAGAGTAAATTATGTATATTAGATTTATATAAATTTTTACTTTGACTTTGTAATCTTTTGTTTTGTTTTAAATCAAAAGAAACAATAAATTATTATTATTATTATTATTATTATTTATATGCGAAGTTATCTCCAGCTTTGGTGGGTAGTTGGGCTCTCTTCACGTGAGCAAACAATGCTCATTGGTAGAGAGAGTAGAGTGGGTTGAGGCCGGTGTTAACTTGGCTATGAATGGCCAATTTACAGCCGACGATAAGGTTTGCAGTAACCGGGGTGAGAACTGTGTCTTAAGACGCCCACCCAGAGGTTGCTTCTCGTCGATGATGGTGGGGTAGGGGTTTAGGTTGTGGGGGAACAAATGAGTATGGATTCTTTGGTTAAGGTTTTCAACTTAAGACTTTCCTCAGTATCCTAGCAGTTCCGAGGATTGCTGCTTTCTGAGCTGTGACAAGAGAGTGCTTCCCAGGGATTTCTTCCTTAAATTTCTTCCATTCTTTCGAGACTGCTCCCGTCGCGCCGATTACGAAGGGTTGCTCCCGTCGCGCCGATTACGAAGGGTTTATTATTATTATTATTATTATTATTATTATTATTATTATTATTATTATTATTATTATTATTATTATTAATGGGGAAACTTTCTTTTTGGCAGGAAGAGTTTCCTTTAATGGATGAAGTGGAAATCGCACTTACAATTAGTGACTAAAGTAATTTTTATGAAATACCACTTGAGTAAAAGTTACAAACTCCCCAGCTGTAGAGTATCATGTCATTACGTACAAATGAAGTCAATGGAGGCATTAAATCTGTTTCAATTTTGTTAAAGCTGAATTCATTTGAAAATCACAGGCGTTCTATAAATATTTCTTTTAAAAGTAGGCCTCTCTCCTCTAAGTCTATCTGAGTTATTTATTTTTAAATGCCAAACTCGAGGCAAAAAAAAGAGGCTTTGTGCTTTGCCACATCATTTGTTAATCAGGAAAGTCAAATTTTTCATCCCAAAAATCACTAAATACTTATGTACTGAAGGGTTACCATAACAACAAGATAAATAAACACTGACCGAAAACTCCACAGCTACTCATTTCCTGGTTTCCACTAGTTTATAACTGTATAGCTCAATAATGTGTTGGAGCCAGTCCGTGTTGTGTATTTTTCAAGTCCAGGTTGCCATGGTGACTGAGACTTCGGTCAAAAGAAACACCCAGGTATTTTTTAGATGCTAAATACCACCCCTGCTTCAATATTGTGTTTATCTGTTGTCATTAGAGGACAAATGATAGCATGAAAATACCTGTAGTTATCATATCGTGTATTTTATCCATTTTTTTATGTAAAGTATTCTGTGGAGAAATATTATCGCATGAATCAGTAACTTGTGATAAGAACAGTTTTTTTTCCACTGTAGATTTGAAATGTTTAAACTGTGATAAGAAAAAATATTTAGTCTCTGGTCCAGATCGTAAGTATATCTTTTCCTCGGTATCAGCTCACCAATCAGCAGAATCATTCTTTTAGAGTCATGACATGAAATGGCTGGACTTGAGTCGCAATCAGGCTCTAACTAAAATACTCGAATATGTTTTTACCTCATCCAGCTGATTAAGCTAACAATTATATTAAGGATCTCATTTTGATCAAATTCTAAGAATTGTCACGATTTGCAACATAATACATACGAAAATGATGACCCCTTTTAAAAAGTTTTTCTCTCATTGAGGAGAAATTTTCATTTTTGATAATTTTTCTATTCTATTCATAACATCCCTTTTTAGGAAAACACTGCGTCTGTGATGAAAGGAACATTCTAGTGAAAGGAGACAGCTATCCAACTTGCTTGCCCTGTCCAGCCGATCAAATCGTCACTTTCGATGGGAGTAGTTGCATCAAGTGTATGAACCTGACTGATGTGTTAGATGCAGACAATTCATCCCAATTATGTGAATCTAATCTGTGTGTTTCCAATGAGATCATCGGTAAGCATCTTCCCAATGTGTGAATATCCGTGTTGTAAGGATCTATAGTTCTGGGCTGAGATTTTTTCAGGTACTTAGGTATATTTTGTTGAGGCAGGTAAAAAAAACCTTACGAATTTCATTGCGTTTGTTCTCTTGCATGCCTAAGATTAAAGACATGTTTTGTTCGATGCAACATTTGTTTCCTGTTACCCATTTTGTGTTATTTGCGTCACTTCTTCACAATAGATGAGAGCAAAGCAGCTAGAAGTGAGGTTAGAAATCCTGTTAAGAAACGAACACAATATTATATTTGGGAAACTAGGAATGAAGAAAAGCGAGCGACACGATGAACAGGACGAACAGAATATATTGATAACAAGTACAATTGCCCCAAGCAGGGCTGTCACCCTAGCAGGGGCTAATCTCCCTGCTTACAGTACCAACCTAACGATACAACAACTCTCCCCTAGTAGTTTTAAAAGTGGAAACTTTTAAAAATAGGACTAGGTAATAGAGGAGATAACAATAACTGATCTATTACATATTATTATTTTGATAGAAGCTTTGAGAAAGGGAAAAAAAATTACAACTTGAGTTCAAAATAATTAGGATGGGCTGAAGCGCCTAGGTGGATTAGACTGTCTGAGTGACTGGCGCTGCGGCAACAGTAGACATTCATGAGTTTTGAGTTTGAGACCACGACCTCGACCACGAGTAGGAGTAGGCCGGACTATGCTTGAAACTGGAGTAACAGGAACATTTGCATGTACAGGCTGTTCTTCAGGTGTATAGAAGCCTAAGAATTCTGGAGAACCGTCATCGGAGCTTGGAGTATTACCAGTTGATCGAACTTTCGAAGTGCTGAGATGAGGTGTAAGGGTAGCTTTATTGGAATTACTTTGCGTAGCTTGTATATCTTGATGTGGAAGTTGAGCTTGATTATTGGAAGACTAAGGAGAAGATTTTTGTCTAAAGGATCTATAACGAGTGTTGTAGGTGGGTGAATTTGTAGTGGAGGTGCAATTTTCATTGATGTCAAAATGAACTTTCTTACCACATGAACGTAATTGGTCGATGTGACGTTTATGGATTCGATTGTCATGTAGAATTTTGTAGTGTAATTGGCCTATTTTGGATTGAACTAGGCCTTGACACCATCGACTTGCTCCATTGTAAACTCGAAACATCACTTTGTCTCCAATTTGAAATAACCGATATTTTGATTTCAGATTTTTCAGAATGCATTTTCCTGAAGGTTGATGGTTACCTGCTGTGGAGATGGATGGAATTTGAATCGATTGCCGTTTTGACGGGGTCACAAGATCTATTCTTGTGTTAATGGTTCGACCCAAAAAAAGTTGTGACGGAGGTTTACCAGTTGTTTGATGGGGTGCTCGGTGATATCTTTGGAGATAATTATCAATCATGGATTGAAGATTGTTCGGAGTTGCTCGGAGGTTGAGGATTGCTTGTTTTACTGTACGAACATAACGTTCTACTTGCCCATTTGTGGCTGGATGATAGGGCGCTGAAAATTTGTGAAAGCGCACGCCTTGAGATTTCAAAAATTTCCTGAACAAATCTGACTTAAACTGCGGACCGTTATCACTAACAACCGTTTCTGGAATACCATAGAGTGCAAAAAGTGAATTGAGATGTTTCATGGTTGCTTCCGATGTCATTTTGTTGGTTACAAAAACTTGAGTCCATTTGGAGTAAGCATCAACGACTAATAGCAAATATTTACCATGAAGCGGTCCCGCATAGTCTAGGTGGATGCGGTTCCAAGGTCCCTCTGGATATTCCCAGTGATGCGTGTTACATTTTGCTGGCATTTTTGCGTTTGATAAACACGTAGGGCAGTTTTTTGCTGTTTGTTCAATATCTCTATCAATGTTCTTCCAATAGACAAGTGAGCGGGCGATACCCTTCATTTTTGTGATTCCTATATGACCAAGATGGAGTTCTTTTAGGAATTTTTCTCTTAAACTTGTGGGAACAACCACTCGATGTCCGAACATTAGGCAACCACAGGCTAAGGTGAAGTCTGCCTCATTCCCTTTGAAACCAAGAGCTGAAAGGTCTTCATTATTTTCAATTGCTTCTTTTATTTTAGAAAGATGAGGATCCTTCTGTGTTTCGACAGCGATTTCATTCGCCGTTGGAAGGTGCATGAATGCGTCAAGAATGTCCAAACGACAAAATACTTTAGCTTTGCCAATTTTGTTAAATAACTCGTCTACACGAGGAATAGGGTGCTCATCTACAATCAACTGTGGGTTGAGGGTAGTCTTGTAATCTCCGGTTATCCGGATCTTATCACCTTTGACAACTACATGGGTCGGACTTGCCCATTCTAAGTGGGTGACTTTTTCATATAAACCAGATTCAATTTTCTTGTCGATAGTTTTCTTGTACCGTTCTTTAAGGCTATATGGAATGTGACGTGGATACGTAAACTTGGGTTTCGCATTTTGTTTTAAATGCCATTCGACTTTGGGACCTGTCATTTCACCGACTTGATCCTTGAACAGTGACGGAAACTTATCGCAGAGTTTGTTTAAACGAGTCTGAAGATCTGGTGTGATATAAGAACTGGATTTAATTTGGTTTATTGATGTAAAGTCTTGAAAAGAAATTAGATCGGAGAAATACTTGATCCATTCACGGCCGAAAAGACTATCAGCGCCAAAAGCGACTACATAAAGATCTAATGCTCTGGTTCTACCTTTAAAAGTAACATTAACAGGTACATACCCTAAAGTGTTGAATTTAGTTTTGGTAAAGCTCGTAAAGTTCCGGCTAGAAGGAAGTAGCTTAGCATGAGGAAGTAAACGGTCTTTGGTTTTAGCACTAATGACAGCTGTAGAAGAGGCCGTATCTAGCTCCATGGACAATGGTTGTCCATTGATAAGAACATTAAGACGCACAGGGGGTGGAGGTGCGTTTGCATCACATTGGGTTCGATAAACGTTACCTGGTGCTGAATTTCTGGATTCGTGACACTGAATGCGATAAATATTATCATCCTGTAAGTACTCAGTTTCTTCGACAAAATGATTTCGTTCAGTGATTTCATGGACTGAATTTTTCCTGTTTGGTTTCCTGCAAACAGCGGCAAGGTGAACTATTGCATTGTAAATACTGCATTTATATTTACGATATTTGCATTCGCTTCGCCAATGCTGGCCACCGCAAGACTTACAAGGGTAACGAGGTTTACGACTCCTGTGAGTAGAGTTATGAGATCTGACTGGACTAGAGGGATTACTACGTCTAGGAGAATTTGAATAATCATACCTTGAATTTGGTGGACTGACAGAGTTGTAACGTCTCGGAGAATTTGAACTTGAATGACCATATCTTGGGCTTGGGCTTCGATATCTGGAGTTAGCACCGTGTTTCAGTCTTGGACGCTTATCATGAAGAATGTTGACCGTGTGATCTGATGAATTTGAAGGTTTTAACATCTTTGTCGCAGCCTTTGATGCTTCCATGTTCATAGCCATAGTTACCGCTTCCTGAAAAGTCTTTGGTTCTGATAAGATGATTTCATCCCTGATATCATCCCTGCAGATCCCGTGTATTAATTGAACTGTAAGAGAGTAGTCGAGGAATTCTTCAAATTTACAATACTTAGCACCAAATTTTAGCCTAGCGACAAATTCAACAATTTTCTCTCCAGGCTTCTGAAGAATTTTACGAAAATTTATTGCCTCGCTGAATTTATTGTGAGATTTATCATAATAACTGGTTAGCTTTTCAGTGATAGCTTTATGATCTAGGGTCTCTATTGCAGTAGGGTAAGTGAGATTACTTAGCACTGAATTTAGTTCAGGTCCCATGTGGACCCTGAGGTGGGACGACCAATCTGCTTCCGGAATATTGCGAAGTTTCAGCTGGAGTTTGAATCTGGAAAGATATTCCTCAAGAGTTTCAGGGGAATCAGCAGAATAACTTTCAAAACGAAATATAGACGAATTATTAGTTGGATTTTGAACCTGTGACTGGAGTTGCATGTTAGTGAGTTGACTGACCAAATCCGTTAGTTGGGTAAGCTTCAGTTCCAGAGATTGGAGTCCAGGTGGATTCGCTTGTGAGGATGCCGCATTGGGTTGATCATTGACCATTGTGCCGAAATGAGATTGTAAAGATGTGATTGCAACAGGTGTGGTTCATGGGCCGTTTAAGAGAGCATTGACACCGGATTGCAGCACGCTACACCGCCGTTCGCAAAGATCGCGGACGGACGGGTTTCGGACACACGGAATTACGCGACTGAACGAAACGTGACAGAATGAAAAAAAAATGAGTAATATTATTAACTCGTCGCCATTATTATATTTGGGAAACTAGGAATGAAGAAAAGCGAGCGACACGATGAACAGGACGAACAGAATATATTGATAACAAGTACAATTGCCCCAAGCAGGGCTGTCACCCTAGCAGGGGCTAATCTCCCTGCTTACAGTACCAACCTAACAATACAACACACAATAGTTGTAACAAGCTCCGAAGGCATTCCAATTGTTTCAAAACAATGTTGCGAAAACGTTGCCAAATTGTGCAGAAATAATAATCGAATAAAAATAGGCCACGCCCCTTAACAGAAGGAACATCCGAACAAAATGTGATTGTTACAAGATGTTCCTAGTTGTTGCATCAAACAAAATATGACTTAAGTTGTTAACAATTCAATATGCAAATTGTTTTTTGTAAAGGTTTTTTACGCGTAGGTATCTTTTGGTTGGATCTCCAATTTTAATTGGGCATTTATCCTCTTCTTTCTTCGCAAAAAAAAAACGGGCCACTAGGAAAGGCGCAAACACCACAAGCCCTGTGATGTAGTGTATCCAATTTTTTTATTTTTTTTCACCCTTTTGCAAGCAAGCAAAAATAGCAGCTTCAGAAAATATCAAACAAATCATAGAAAACCCAACAGAAAAGATAATAGCTGAAGCAAGAGGATAACAGCATAACTGTTGCAGCAGATCTTGGATACAGTTTGATGGAAAATGACTAATATCACGTAAACAGTCGGATTCGGAATGCGCCCTGAGGTAACACCAATATCACGCGTCTGCCGAATCTTGGTTTTGATCATTTGTCATTCATTATGTTAGTTGAAAGAAGTGTTCTACAGGATACTTTTTATGCGTATTGTGCGAAAAAAGTTATTAAACATTTTAATAATTTTTATATTTGTAACAATCGTTTCCCCAATGCGATGTATTTACGGTATCTACGCCCTGATGATGCGCTTAGGCGCGAAATGATCATTGGCAATATGGAATATGGAATAAAGGTAAAACTTTTTCCACCTTTTCTGCATCACTGGCAATATACATAATTATCTCCTCTAAACATAAATGTCCTACAATTAATTATCTTAACACTAAAGATAGAGGTCCCAAAAATATTAAGTTTATTTTTACAGGGATAATGAAGATGGTAACACCTGGCGATGATGGATCGATTATTAAAAGCTTTTTTTTTTTTTTTTTATTTATTTTTGTAATTACACATATTGCATTACAACTTATATTACTAGACCTTACAAGTCTTTACATATTTTCCTTTAAGCCTTATATAATAAAATAGGAATAAACGCTGCTTTATGGATTAAATTAATGAGAATGATAATGAAAGATGAACAAATGAGATAGAAGTAGAATCCTTTAAAAAGCGGGAGAAAAACTAACTAATATTAACTATAATTATGCCGAGAACTAGATTCTAGAGAATTTTCCTACTAACTATGCTTTCGCCCTGTCAGTCGACTAAGACTGGTAGGGGCCAGAGGCACGAGCCTAACACCGACGGAAATGAGCCGTGCTCAACTCATGTGGTTTGCGTCTTTTTAACCTCCGGGTCTCGGAGCCCCAATCTAAAAGCGCTATTGCTTCGGGATTGGGGTGACCGCCCAGTCTCTCTTCATAGCTATTGTACTTACGTGAGATGTACATGTCCATTTCTTCGATCCCGAGCTTATCTCTAATATCGATGTTACGCTCGTACCACCTGGCCCCTGCCATTTGTCTGAGTAATTAATAAAAGCTAAAAAGAGAAGGGAATAAGAAAAGATTAATTACAACTTTAAAAAATGGTGCCTTTTTAATTTGTTTTAACTAGTGAATGACATCAAAGTATTCATTGTGAATTCATAACTCATGTGCAAGAAAGAGCGACCCTGAGAATGGCACAATTTGGGTCCTTGGGAATTATTCTGAAACCAAGCCCATACGATACCTTATGATTTACTAAAACTCTGGTAAAAAGAGGTTGTTCCAAAAACGCCGATCCCCCCCCCCCCGGATTTGGCCCAAACTTTGCTCAGATGTTGTACTAAGTGTCACCAATGCTTAAGCAAAGAACCCCGCACCTTCCTTATGGGAAATCTCCCCCAGTCAAACGCGATGACGCTTGGATATGTTGCTCAGCTCGTCATTCTGATCAAAAGCTCTAAGGGGCCCAAAGAGATCCCATGTGTGGTTTTTGAGATATTCGCCGTTTTTTGTGCGTAAACGGAGGTTTCGCGCGCTCCCGCCGGAAGCCATACCATTGTGCGGCGGCGCTCGTGCCCTTCCCTTCCAGTCCTCTCCGACCCCCCTCCGCTGCCCTGCCATCCATACCTTGGCTCCTCTACTGCTCCAACTCCGACGCTCACGAGGCTGCGCCCATCATTACCGGACCGCGCCCGTATGCCGTCTTCTTACGCGGCCTCCTCTTGGGCCATGTCGCCTCTTTTTCTCATCGATCCTTCCTCTAAGTCTTGAAAAACGTTTAAGAAATCCATTTTGACTAAACATGATGATGCTAATATCACAAATAATACAAAAAGAGAGAATAAGAAAGAGGGGAAAAACTAATGATAATCCATGCGAAAGTACGGAGGAGAGTTGAAATGCCTAAGAGACCGCTAAATAAAACAAACTTTTTTTTATTTTTTCCCCTTTCCTTTCTTTTTTCCCCTTCATTTTTCTCATGTGGAAGCAGTGAAAGTGACTTACTCTATTGGAAGATGATGTTGAGGTTTTTCTTTCTTTTTTTTTTTTTTTTTTGTAAATCACGTGGAGGAGTTTGAGGGGAATCAGTCGGCTTATGATGCCCAAGTAGGAATTAAGTTTGACTTAGTCTTGACTTTGCCGAACCGCACCAATGGAGGAGGACAGAGGGATCATTACTAACTGAACTCAAGGAAGAGAGATGTCCATTTAGGCGTAAATGGTCACATTTTGAGTTGCTCCAACTTGCAGCACCACCTTATCAGCCATCTTATTATCTGCTGATCGTATTCTCTAATCAGATCGTACATCCAAGACAAACTCCAAAGAGATGACGACGAAGAGTTGCAGGTCGACCGTAACATTCAAGAGCCCGGCTTTTTTGCGAGTACGGGTTTTCTCTAGGTTCCAAAACGCCACGAAACATCAAATATTCATTGCGTATAAATCCACGAATGGTCAAGAAGACCTGGATGAAACAAAAAAGATTCTCGTATACTACTGCTTTTGCAAATCCGGCGCACGAATATCAGGCACTCGTACCCATGTTGCAAATGTGTCATATGGTTCCTTGGATTTGCTGTCAATCAACTTTAGAGCATGGTATCCATCAACGGTTCTACTTAAATGTATTAGAGGTGCGGCTGGAAGACCATTGCAAGAAAATCCCTGACTAACTTTCGAAGGTGACTCAAAAGTAATTGCCCCCCGGGTCGGCCTCTTCCTTTTGATTGGCGCGTGCTGCAGGTTTAAGCGCCTCAAACTATGACCATCTATGCCTACGCATACGTGAACCTCTCCTCTTAGTCCAGTCAATTTAGCTCTAAATAAGGGTCATCTGGGAAAATCCATATATAGGAGGTTTTTTTGCGGAAACATGTTGCATTAGGCTACCAGAACAACATATCAAAAGTTTACCAAAATCGGCCGTCCGCTAAGGCCGCCATCTTGAAAAAAGGGGGGCGGGGGGCCAAAATATGCCGCCGGCGACCGATTTTTAGCTTATATCTTGAAAAATATCGATCCTACGGAAAAATGTCACTGAACCTTTTAAAAAGATCATAAAATTTCCTATTAGAAACACTATACATTTATCAAGTTGCGACTTCTGGTTCGTGAGATATGGCGGTAGTTTCCTGCGGCTAGGAAAGTCAAATCTTGCGAGAAATCACGTTTTTTCAACAAAATCTGTAATTATCTTAAAAACGGCGAGTCTGAGGCAAAAAAGTG